CAATGCACGAGCTCAACAGTCTATTGCTTCTGGTAGGCCGAAGAGAGCGACTGCTGGAGTACCTCCACAGAGGTATGGCTTCGAGGACATGGTGGCGTATTCATTTCAGGTTGCTGAAGAAGTGGATGCAGGAGAGTCACAGTCCTATAGAGAAGTAGTTTTGGGTGGTGAAGCTGATAAGTGGCTTGCCGCAATGAGAGATGAGATGGAATCCCATGACAGGAATCAGACTTGGGAGCTAATCAAACGGCCACAGGGAAGGAAGATTGTGACAAACAAGTGGATCTACAAGAAGAAGGAAGGAATCACTTCTAGAGAGGGCATGAAATCTAAAACTCGGGTGGTTGCACGAGGCTTCTCGCAGAGGGAAGGAGTTGACTACAATGAGATTTTCTCACCAGTTGTCAGACATACTTCTATCAGAGTGCTACTAGCAATAGTGGCACGTTATGACTTGGAGCTCGAGCAGCTAGACGTGAAGACAGCTTTCCTGCATGGAGAGTTGGAGGAAGAAATTTACATGACTCAGCCAGAAGGATTCGAGGTTCCGGGAAAAGAAGACTATGTTTGTAAGCTGAAGAAGTCCTTGTATGGACTTAAGCAATCTCCGAGGCCGTGGTACAAGAGATTTGACAGTTACATGCTTGAGCTGGGCTACAACAGAAGTCCATATGATTGTTGTGTATATCACAGCAAGGCAGAGAATGGTTCGATGATATATCTAGTTCTGTATGTGGATGATATGCTCATAGCTGCGAGGTCGAAGTCTGATATCCAGAAGTTAAAGGGGCTTCTCAGTGCTGAGTTTGAGATGAAGGATTTGGGAGCTGCTCAAAAGATCTTGGGTATGGAGATTACAGGGACAGGTCGAAGAAGAAGCTTTTCTTGTCACATAAGAGCTACATCCAGAAGATACTGTCGAGGTTTGGCATGTCTTCAGCAAAGCCCTTAAATACTCCTAGTGCTTCAAATGTTCATCTATCCTCAGCGTATGCACCGTAGTCAGAGGCTGAGAAGGAGTACATGTCGAGAGTCTCATATGCTAGTGTAGTAGGTAGCTTGATGTACGCTATGGTATGCACTAGACCTGATCTTGCACATGATGTTAGTGTTGTCAGCAGGTTTATGATACAACCTGGGAAGGAGCATTGGCAGGCTGTGAAGAGGATCTTCCGGTACCTTAAGGGTACACCTGATGTGGGGATTAGCTTCGGAAGTGATACAGAGTGCTTGGTATCTGGGTATTCTGACTCGGACTATGCTGGAGATGTTGACACGAGGAGATCGATGACCGGTTATGTATTCACTCTTGGGAGTTCTGTAGTGAGCTGGAAGGCAACTCTGCAGTCGGCGGTGACATTGTCTACTACTGAGGCATAGTATATGGCATTGACAGAAGCTGCTAAGGAGGGAATATGGTTGAAGTGACTGGTTGGTGATCTGGGTTTACATCATGATCAGGCAGTGGTGTATTGCGACAGTTTGAGTGCAATATGCTTGGCCAAGGATCAAGTCCACCATGAGAGGACTAAGCACATCGATGTGAGGTATCATTTCTTGAGGACAGAGAAGAGGATTAAGGTGAAGAAGGTTGGCACCACGGATAATCCTGTTGATATGTTCACGAAGCCGGTTCCACATGGCAAGTTCCAACACTGCATGGACTTGCTGAATGTCTTGAGTGGGTGACTCCGCCCTAAGAGGGCATTGATGGGGGGAGAGAGAGAAGGAGCAGAGTACATCAGAGATTTCAGAGGAAGAGGATTCAAGTCAAGGTGGAGATTTGTTGATGTGACTTGAATCGGACTATCAGCCGCTACGACTGGTAATCGGGGGTCTCGCTGTTATCTGGGTTCTGGGCTCTGGGCCTGGTCTGTAACCGTTTCCTTTGTCAGATTGGATTAGGTTTAGACCCACATGGAGAAGTACTATAAATACTTCTCATACTCCTCTGTAATCTGTAATCTCCTCGAGATAGTGAAACTGGCTCTCTCTCACCCGTGGACTAGCTAACACACATCGTGTTAGTGAACCACGTAAATCGTGTGTGTGTGTTTTTTTCGATTCTCGCTTTCGTATTCTTGCTTTATCGATTCCGACGATTTCCCGATCCGTAGCAGCGCGTTTATAACAGGAGTACTAGTGTCGCCTTCTCCAAACTCAATCGCGCTTTCGACCGGTCCGATCAAAATTGGGACGATCTAGTTAGCCTGGAGCCCGATCGATCGATGAATCAATCGGCCGCATCCTGGAATTGGTCTGGAAATTGGACCGGCTGGGTACGTGATTCCCGCAGCGACCGGGACAAAGTCACGAAACTATATATCCTTGCAAGGAACCCGCGCCGCATGCAAGTAATGCCGTAATACATCCATGCGTCTTTTACCAATTCCTATCATCATCCAAATAATATATAGAGATTCTCTTTGATAACCCACTCCATCAATTTTTTCCAAGCTCCTGCGCAGAGCAAGGGAGGATACTTTGGTATTTTTAAACACCCAACTAATTAATTAAAATTAAAAGGATCTCGACTCTAACTTAAAAAGTCCCATCGTTGCTTAATTGACCTGCTGCATGCTATGTTATATTTATCTTTTATTTTTATGAGTAGTTTTGTTTCTTTATCCATTTATAATCTGATTAGTTGTACAATTCAAATTGCAACGTCACTCTTTTATTAGTTTTTTATCATCTCATTATTTTTACGTTGAAATTAATTATAACATGATATCCACTTGAACATGTATTAAAATAAAAAAATTTATTAGTGTGTCATACAACATCCTCCCATACATATAAGCACATTATTGCTAAAGAGCTACTCAATTCAATATTTCCTGCCCTCCCCACAAAGCAAGGAATGCCTGACGAGTCTTTTCGCATCTCAACTCTCGATCAACTGGCTGTCGTTGTCTTCTCATTTTCTTCGACTTTTCGTTTTCTGTTTTGCAGCCACTAGCAGGCATTGTCTTAATAATCCCATAATCCCCCTACTACAAAAATATAATTCCCATAATCCCCCATTGGTTAGCGTTAGTAATGGTAATGGACATGTCCAATGCGGGTATCTCGATACCCATACTTGCCCTGTCGCAGGTCTGGTAATTTATCGCAGGGTGTGAGTCGGGGCAGGTCGACCAAATGTGTATGTAATTTAATAAGGAAACTTTGAGAAATACTCATTTTTTTCATTAAAAACCAATATACAAACTAAAATATGATAAATATAATTAAATTATTCAAAAACTTGAGGTTCTCACCTTTTTAAAACTTTATTACAGCTAAAACATGAGATAATAAAAGTAAAAAATCGTAAGTAATTTGAGTAAAATTACATGTAACTTAGCCAAATGCGTGTTGAAAATGGGGTCGATCAGGACAGGTCAAGTACAGTACCCATGCCTACCCTGCCTTGCCTATTGGACGGGTCGGACACGCCCAAAATAGGTCAAACAGATCGGGTAAAATGGGCCAGGTCAAAATTGTCATCCCTAACTAGCGTTGTCTTTATATACGATAGTAATGGTTTTATTAATGAATTATAATAATAAAAAAGCTATAGGTGTGTTGCGATATTAAAATGTATGAAATTTTGTACGTAACTCTCAATTAATATAATATTTAAAAGTTTAGTATCAATAATAAAATGTGTTTAAAAATAAATAAATTATCAGTTTAACTCCTTAAAATACGTGTATTAAACGTGTTATACATGTCCAATATTATAAAAATTGAATAAAAAAATGAAACAACTCTATAATAATACCTAAACGAGAGTTTTAAATGCATTCAATAGAATACATATATAACATGGATGATAAAAAAAAATTCATATGATTTTTAGCTTACCAGTTCAAGAATATGGTCACTTTTAGTCTAAGGTAAATGAATATGTTTAGCTCGTGTTAAAATTGTTTTGACTAAAATTTAATTTATTGCCAATGCCATTGCTTTCTCTTCAAAGAAATGATAAATGCATGTAAATTTCAAAGCTAATATGGCAAAAAAGCAACTACGAGTCGATTTCGGAGGAAATTTTGTTCTATAAGTTCAAATCATGTACCAAATCATGTTATTGATGCTATGTTCATATTAGCCATTCCATTATCTATCTCTGAACATCAAGGTACGTAAAAATTTCTTACTTTATTAGTTGAGTACTTGAGTTGTTAACAATCATCAATTGATGATTATTGGCCATTTTTGTGGGTGAAAAATTATTCTTTTAGATTAAAGCTACCTTGATGTTATCTAATCTTGATATTCCTCAAGAGGTTGAATTTCACTCATGGTAACATTATTATCCCATTAAATTTATTATTTCATATTATGTTGAAATTTATAAATGCACCTTGAATTATTTTATTTTGATAATGTTTATAATAAATAAGAAAAGAGATTGCACTGTTAATAATCTTTCTTATGGATGCTTATTTTCTATTTTCCAAGCAATTGAAAAACTAGACTTTCTTTATGGTAAAAACTAAAAACTGTCTTGCTATTTTGTAAAAATGATATTATTATTTGTTAATTCGAACGATATTTACATATAATCATGGAACGAATATTATAAGAGAAGTGGATACTACTAAAGTTTAAATTTTGAAACTTTGTTGATTGCGATTATCATATTGCAACCGGCCAACGGGCCGGGGTACAATCTAGTTTTTTTTAGAAACGTTCTACATCAACTTTAACAAACTCGGAATAGAGGAAGTTTTAACCAAATCATCAAGCAAGGAAATAGTTAACCAGTCAAAATCCATAATTTATTACCTCAATATACCAATCGTGTCTCCTTCTCTCTACATGGCCATACCCTCAAACGCAAAGCTAATAAATAGATTGCCGCGGGAAAAAGGAGATAAAAAAAAAAAGTCGCTAATTTATTATCATATGTACTCTGTTTTTCCTCTGCTCTGGCTCTGGCACATCGTCTGGGGTTAATGGCGACCAAATTCCCACGATCGTCGGCTTGGGCTCTATATTTCGTCTCTATGGTTGTTCTGACGCCTCCTCGCTACTGCTCCTCCGTTCGAATTGTTCCTCCGGCTGTGTTCCTGTTCGGGGGAACTCTAGTCGATGCTGGAACCAACGGTTTCTTGCCTTACAGCACGGCAATTGCGGCCAACTTCCCCTTCTACGGGATCGATTTCTTTGATTCTGTGCCTCACGGCAGATTCTCCAATGGCCGCGTTGTCGCCGACGAAGTTGGTACGATCATCATAAACCATTCTTTTATTCACCCATGCATTTTTTTCCCCGGGAAAAAATTCTCAGTATATAACACCTAAACCAAAAAATTTCAAAATACATAAATTCGGGGCGATTCGTTTCAGTGTCCAAAAAATTTAGGTAGCAGTTCGCTAGATACCAAAGCGAATTAGCCCTAGACCGCTTACCAGCAGCTAAAGCGAACTATCCTCGAACCAGTCCAGATCGCGGGTTCAAGGATAGTTCGATTTAGTCTCCAGCTATTTTCCTATAACTACTGATCGTGTCCAACGATACCAGATCGCGCGCGCGATGGAGACGACTACAGCTAGCCGTCACAAATTTGTGTATTTTGAGAAATTTTTGTGTGATCGTTTATATATATTGGGAAATGCATCAAGAACATAATTAGATTTTTTTTTTTATGTTGGGCAGCTAGGAGAATCGGTTTTGAAATGAGTCCGCCGTCGTACCTCTCCTTGGTAGCCGGCGGTTACCCTTCCTACAAATTCAACCGGACTATAACAAGCCGGGGGGTCAATTTCGCTTCAGCATTCTCCGGCATTCTCTCCTCAACCGGTCGCGCTTATGGTCAAGTACGTCTGCTTAATTAATTTTTTAGTGCAGTTAAAATCGTGACTATGATTAAAGTGTGATTCTACATAAAAGCGCGTTATTTATTACCAAATTATATTCCAGGTGGTGCCATATCCACAGCAGGTCCGGCAGTTCTCGACGTCGGTGGCCGGAAACCTTACAGCTGTACTGGGGCAACCGGGTTCCGCCAATTTTATTCGCCAGTCTTTCTTTCTATTCAGCGTTGGAGTCGGTGATACGGTGGAGTACATACAGAATCTCACCGCCGGCCGTCCCTATTATCGCTCCGATGACCTCTTCCTAGACGCGTTGATATCCCAATTCGTCGGTGGTCTTCTGGTAACCTAACATGTTTACCGTGACGGACCCAGGAATTTTTTTATAGGGGTGTCATTTTTAAAAAAATAAATTTAATAAAAATAAAATTATAAATAAGAAAATATCTTACTCGTACAGGTTAAAAAAGTCCATTATGTATTTTCATATGCTGAAATAATTGGAGAATACACTTGGTGTCTACTGTGTTAAAAAAAAATTGTCTCTATATACCCTACTAGACAATCATTCACGAACTTATCGCATATTTGATTTGTAAACTTGTTCTTGATGTAAGTCAAAGCTGAAATACTCTTTCAATACTTGTCGTATAACCATAAAATCAATACAGATTAAGAGTAGGTTGAAATTAGTTTAATAGTTAGGTTTTGAAAATAATTAGAGATAGATAATGTCATTTTACTATGATACAGTGTTCAAAATTGAATAACAAATAAGTTGTCATTTTACTATGATACAGTGTTCAAAATAATAATAATAACGATCCATAATATATATTTTGTTCACAAATGAGATGACTGATGTTAGATTATATATGCAAATTAACTACCTTTAACAATTCTCAAATTCGTTGAATTTTTTTTAACTTTACTATGATACTATCCAATCAGTTAGTTGTAAACTTTCACTGACCCTTAATTATTGGAAAATTTTTGCCCATCAGATTACCAAACTCACCCTGCAATCGCCGATCTAGCATATCCATAATTATACAAATGAATGAATGTTGATATTTTTTCCACCACCCATCAAAGTCATGAATGAGCAAACAATTTAGTCTAAAAACCATCCAACCTACTCATTACTCATCCAACTCTACTCACTGTTAAACGCTGGATCTAAAAATGGGTTAACATGACCAGGGACGGAGGCAGAATTTGAGTGTAAATATGTTTATTAATTAGTCAACCGTATTAATCAATATATTTTTCAACAAATTAAAATTAATTTGTGAAAATGAACTTGTACTCAATTGTCTACAATATATAGTAATTTCTATACAACAAATACTATCTAGCATTTTCCCACTGAGCTCTAGTGTTTTTGCGAGATAAAATTACATTGAGCTATAAAAACGATAATTTCTAAAATTTTGTTGCTCTTTTTAACAAATTCATCTCGAAAATTCTTATTTTTTATGGTTATCTTGAAACTTTCTATCTACCTTTTATCCTAATAATTTGTCAAGTAATAATACAATTTCACAATAAATTATGAGAAGAACTCACTTTGAAATTGAGTGAGTATTGGAATCATAAATGATTATTTTACAGGATAAATTGAGAGGGATACATTCAATAGTTTGAATGATAATTGTATTGTACAACATTTTTACTATATAAGATTATGTCATAGCTGATAAAAATTTGATAATATATAGAGTACAACTCAATTTATCCTAGATTTTCTTAAAAATTTCGGATACGCTTTACCAAAAATTCTAACTATGCCCCTAAACAATGATGGTGCAGGATCTATACGCTGTCGGGCTGCGGAGGAGTGCCATAGTGGCGCCTCCGCCTATTGGGTGCCTCCCTTATTTCCGCGCCTTGAACGCTACCGGCGGTTGCAATGCCAGAGCAAATTCGTTGTCTCAAGCTATCTATCAACGCCTCACTCTGGCTTTGAGAAGCCTTGGCGCTTCAGCTCCAGGTCTCATTTATGCCATCGGAAATACCTACAGATTCGTTTCGGACCTCCTCGCGTTCCCTGAGGGTGCAGCAAACTGCGGTAATTTTTTTCTTAAATCTTTCAAAATTTTCAAATTATTAGTCAAACCTTTTGGAATACAAAATATTAGCCAGTTAGTGATTTCGGTAGTGATGCAGAGTTGGAAAAGAAACATACTTGACGGCCAGCGTTACAAATTTTTTTTAGTATTTTATACTAGAAAGTAGAAAAGAGTTAAACATATTATTAACATTAATAGACAAATGACTAATATTTTGATACGTTACAAAAGATTTGACTAATATTTTGTATTTCAGAAGGTTAGTTAAACAATTTGAAAATTTCGGCTAATAAATCGCATTTACTCTTGATTTTTCCTCACTCGATAATGATGTGTTTAATATTTTGTATAAAATTCTTGGAGTCATATCAAAATCAATGTTTAAAAAACCCTATCGTATGGGCTGATCGGAACGATTTTAACACAAAATACCATATCACGAGCTTGTTCAACTTAACTTCCAGCACGATATCGCAATTATTATCAATATGGATATTAGTTGCAGGATAAGAAAATTTGATAATTATGCAGCAGTCTGATTTTGATTATGAAAGTGTTGCTTTTCCTTCCCTTTTTACCCTTTTTTTAGGTTTGAAAGAGCTAAGAGCTCCGTGCTGCGGAAACGAGGCAACGCCGTGTAGTCCAACTGCTACATTATGCAGGAACCGTACCGAATATTTGTTTTGGGACCAATACAGTGTAACCGAGTACGCCGTCGGGCTGCTTGTTGAAGCTTTTTTCAGCGACAACACGGATTACGTCAGCCCTATCAACTTCGGCCAGCTGCTGATTAAATATTGAACCCCACATTTGCCCATTTGAGGCAATACCGACGAGGGCAGAATAAACGAGGGGCAGAACGTACGTGGGTTTTCCCCCATGTCTAATTAGGGGAATTCACATAGTAATTGCGATGTAATCATTCCACATAAGAGAATATTAAAGATTGCGACCTAATCTCTCATCTTCGAAATGTCCTTTATAGCGGTGGTTTAAAATGTGCGTGCGGTTAAACTTATGATTAGACATACCTTGGCACTAGATAATATTAAAAGGACTTGTCTAGAAGTTTTGCAACGAGTTAGATGTCGAGAACATGTCGATGGCGAGTAAGGTGCTATGGATCTAGGCAGTCAATATCAAGAACGAAAATTAACATCATTTACAATCTCAATTTTCGATTTCAATATTTTTAACTATTTAAGAACTTTGTGAGGTATTGAGTCGTGATTCAATGAACTAGTGATATACTTTCTTGTTGTAAATGTTAATAAAGTTACTAATTATTTGAGTTAAGGTGGAGGAGTTTTGTAAACTATTATTTCATTCATTACGAATCATTCTCTTTCCTTCCAGAGCCTAGGCACGCTTAATAGCTTATGTTTGGGGCGCGAGCAACAATGTAGGCGAAGCCCCGCCTCACACCTAGCGTCTTTAATGAACCTTGATTATATTCACTACAATGTTTGTGATAGTATCACTTTCACATAATTATTGGCCCCAATTCCAGGTTATTGAGTTGCATGATTGACATATGTCTTTGTTTGGAGACAAGTAAACACTCAAGTGTGAGAAATTTGATAACATGTAAATTTTTCACTTTTACCTCCCACAGTGATTAGGTGTTTTTCTATGTCATAATCATAGAATCACCAACCTCAAAGAAAGTTTTCTTCTATCAAAGCCTCAAATCCCCTCAAATCATTCCAAAGTCCCAAAAAACAATTCACAAACAATGAAGCCACGAAAAAAACAATTCACAAATTCTCAAATATGTTTTTATTTTATTTCTTTTTTTTTTTACAAAAGATAATCATATATTGATCAAACAAAAAATAGTTACATCCTGGAATTTAACCACGCCATGAAATCAAAGAAACGACTCGCAGTCGGGTACAAATGAAGGGCCTTCCTAGCCACCAAATGAGCTATCCTATTACTACGGTGACCTACAAACCGAACACTAAACCCACTATGGTCTGATAAGTAACGCAGAACTTCCTCCAGAAGGGCTCCAATCCGACTGTCACTAGGATTAGCCTGCTTGAGTTTGTCAATAAGCTCCTTGGCATCCCCTTCAAATTGCATTTCCGTAAACCCCGACGCCACACACCAAAGCATCACCTCCCGAAGCGAGAGGGCCTTAGCAATCAACGATTCTTCAATCCAAGCAAACTGGATGCCATGAGCCATAAGAGCCGCCATTTCCTGGGTCATAATAACCATCCCACCCGCCGAGTGGGACGCACGCTTAATAGCCCCGTCCCACTAACAAACAAACAGGCAGGGGATGACGCTTCCTACAGACTGAACGACAGGGGGAATGGTTCCGGGATTCCTATCAACAAGCAGACTTATCCATTCCTGGTAATGCTGATGAAATTGTCTCATGAGGGCTGGCATCCCAAACTACTTGCCTTCAAAGACAACCCAGTTGCGAGACCGCCACATTCTCCATAGGAGCGTAACCACCGCCATAACCAACTGTGGCTGGTGGATAAGAGCCATCAGTTTCTTAAGGAACAGTGGAAAAGTGTGTCGAGGAAGCACTTGACTGAGATATTCAATCCCCGCATAGTCCCACAAAACCCTAGCAACCGGGAAATCAAGGAACAAATGCTCCATCGTCTCAGAGTCGGACCAGCAAACCAGTCATCGAGGATGAACCTGAACGTCCCACTCAATAAGAGCTTCAGTCGTGGGCAGGAGCCGATTAAAAATTTGCCACATGAAAATTTTCAGCTTTGGAGGTATGGGAGCTTCCCATAGGCGAATCCAACTGGATCTATCCATCCAACTTGCTGCTCATCGCCATTCCCCTACCTTTTTATCAAGTGAAACAGCCAAATGGTAGGCAGACTTTACCGAGAAAACCCCATCCACCGTTACATGCCACACAAGGCGGTCCTCTGCCACAAGCCGTGGAAGGGGGATTTCCTTAATTGCACGACAAGTTGGCGGGTCAAACCACTAGCGAAGCTTTGAATTACACCAACTCCCTTCCCCTGGAACTATCACCTCAGCAACCACCAGTTTTCCATCCTCTAGCACAATCAAGGGGATTAAAAGTAGGAGCCACAGGATGTAGACGGGGAACACAGCTAGTTCTTCAGAGTATGATTCTTTCTAATTAACAATTCCTAGCTACTTACTTGTCCAACCTTCTTGCTTCGGGTGAAAATATTATTTTCTTATATATCTATGGTATGATGCTTCCGAAGATTCTATCATAACTTGCTGACTGTATGTTTACATGGGTTTAAAATGAAAGAAGAAGAAAAAAGACTCGGTATTTGGGTATTGTCCAAATTAACCAAACTTATATAGGTGAAATTAAGTTTATGTAAATTTACGCTTGGGGCAAATTCATGCCTACCTTTTTTGGGCGAGTTTAAATTGAATTCATAGCAGTACTTGGTGTTCAAAAGAAAATGGATACTCTATTCTAATGCAATTTTTGTCTTTTTTTTTTTTGTAAAATAAACAAAAAGATGAAAACGACTAGATTAAAGGTTTGATTGGATTTAATGCAGTTAATATATGGTTGATGTTGTTTTTTTGTGTATACAATCATCAGAACCAGTGACAGACCAGGAATCTGAATGAGGGGGATTGACTTGAACCGTGATAATTGGTGAAAGGGAGGCTAAGGTCTTACTAATTGCTATATTTCCTACATTTGTTACGAATTTTATATATAATTTTATATACATTTCACATTTCAGTGTGGGTCTATAGCTCCTCCTAATTTCAATCTAACTCCACCACTTATAATATTAGTCTAACCAAAATGAATTTACCAAAACGTTACATATTTGCCATTGAGAATTTATTACTATTATATATCAGATTGCGGACCGTATCAAAACACAAAAGCGTCGTTGACATTTTTTAATAGCGTAAACTTGGGCCTGATGATCAACTGCTCTGCCCTAATTTACGCACCAGGCATCTATAATAATCAAACCGCTCTCCCACATTGGTGCCTAATGACGACAGAGATAAACTGTGTCTGAATAACGTGTCAAAGTTTGACTTGGCACTCAGTTGATTGCAGGCAGCAGCGTAAACTAAATTGTTGATTAATTAGATCAGTTCAATAATTAAGTTGTCGTTATTAAATTAGTTTCGATCCAAATTAATTAATTCCAATTCGACCAGGTAGCTGTTTGTCATTTGCAGTACGTAGTTCACAAGTGTTTGTCATAGGTGTGAATTATCTTCTGATGAAAACTTGATACCATAGTTGTGCAGGATAATGCATATAAAACCCCATTGTTCTTGCATTTGGAGATATTCATTAAGCGGATGGAGAACCTAGCTAGACATGCTGGCTGTCACCTAACCCTAAAATTGACCAACCAATATATATATGGTAAAGGCTATTCTTGACTGCTTGCATACACATATTAGATATACTCTGACAAACGGTTGGTTAATTTTTATTTTTATTAAATTGATATTGTGGTATGGGTTTATATACATGATTTAGGCTGGCCGGTTTACGTTTGGTATACCTTAATCTCACCTTACGCCTACGGAATATCGCTATTTAGATCATAAATTACCCAGGGTTTCGAGCATGATATTATACTCTAACATGTGATAGGTGAACTCCCAATCCTTAATTCTCTAAACTCAAATCATAAAATCAATTTAATAAACAATAATAATAGACGGTTCTGATTCTTCGAAATATATATATATATATATATATATATATATATATATATATATATATATATATATGGTTTAGGCTAGCGTACGCCCGGGCGTACATTAGACTACCGTACGCCCGTTTGAGTTTTGCTATTTAGATCATGAATTAACCGGAGTTTTGGACATGATATTATACCCTAACCACTAATGGATAAACCCCAGTCCCTAGTTTTATAACCCAAATCATGAGATTCGTTTAATCTTAAAATGAAAATTGACAATAAATTCGATGAATCAGAACCGTTGATTTTCATTTCAAGATTAATTGAATATTATGCTTTGGGTTAGTGAATTGCGGACTGGGGTTCACCCATTAGGGGTTAGGATATAATATCATCCCCAAACTCCGGTTAATTCATGGTCTAAATAGAAAAACTCAACGGGCGTATGGTAGGCTAGGGTACGTCCGGACGTACGCTAGCCTTTGCCATATATATATATATATATATATGGTGCCATCTACGGTACCCCGGGTGAAATCCGGGGCACCGCATACCTTGAGTATAAAAACGCTATCTAGACCTCGAATTACCAGGATTTTTGGGCATGATACTATACCCTAACCCTTAATGAGTGAACCCTAGGTCCTAATTATCTAAATCATAAACTATAAACCCTAAGATGGTGCATTGGTTTTTTTACCTGTATTCGGACGAATCATAACCGTCGATTATTGTTTCTAATTAAATTGATCTTCGGGTATAAGATTTAGAGAATTAAGACCTAGATGTTGATCTTTAAGGGTTAGGGTATAGTATCATGTCCGAAAGATTAGTCAATTCAAGTTCTAGATAGCATTTTCTTACTCAAGGTATGCGGTACCCCGGATTTAGAACTCCCCATATATATATATATATATATATATATATATATATATATATATATATATATATATATATATATGTATATATAGATAGATAGATAGATAGATACCTTGAATTTATTAGAAACTTACGTCCTTAAATCTAGATATATATTTATCCAATTATAAATAATATGTGTGAACGTAGCGTATGTCAGTCGTACGCTAACCATTACCATATATTAAAAAAAATTGTAAAATATAACATATGATTGTGTGGGCATATAATAATTCATTATAATTTGGCAAAGGTATAGGACAACAATTATTGATGTTGTATTAAAATAACCCTTACCTTGTGTCTACCAACTGAGCTGTTGAGATTTTGACATTAAGGAACCAAACCAAATATTTCCTGGAAAGTCCATGCAGTTGGCCAAGTCTCTTCACACTCTCCCTCCCAATCTCATTCTTTATCATTTCCAACACCTCTATAAATACCCACAAACTCCTCAGCTTCTCCCATAACCCACACAAACAAGCTAAGTCCTTCACTAGCTACAATCTCCAGGACAAAGCTAAATCAATTTCCTTTTGGAAGCAAAGCAACATGGCCAATTCACATCGCGCCATTTTCTTCACAATATTACTACTTCTAGCTGTTGCAGCAGCTGCCACGGCCTCCTCCGCAGGCTTCTCTCCGCTGTCTCCTTACTACTACTCCAAAATCTGCCCCAAGGCCTTGCCCGCCATTCGACGCGTCGTCGAGGCTGCTGTCTCCGGCGAGCGCCGCATGGGCGCCTCTCTTCTTCGCCTCCACTTCCATGACTGCTTTGTCCAGGTATATATAACGCGCAACTCAAGTTATTGAAATCAACTGGTTAGTCTCACATGTGACTAATAATCCATACGTTGCTTGCAGGGCTGCGATGGGTCGATCCTCTTGGACGCGACTCCGACGATCGACAGCGAGAAGACGGCCCTCCCGAACAACAACTCGGCCCGAGGGTTCGAAGTGATCGACATGATCAAAGCCGAGGTCGACAAGGCCTGCGGCGGCAAGCCCGTCGTGTCCTGCGCCGACATCCTAGCCGTGGCCGCTCGCGACTCGGTCGTGGCTAGGGGTGGCAGTCGGTCGGTTTCGGTTTAACCGAAAACCCGGTTATCGGTTAAACCGAGCCACCCTCTGTAGATACCGACCACCGACCGAAGAGAGCTCACGGTTAGCCGGCCAACCGACCGGTCGGTTCCGAGTTTAGGCTCGGTTAGCCGACCAACCGAAAATACATTTTCAAAAAAAAAAATAATAATAAATGAAACAAAAAATCTCTACCACTCCTTCCTTATCTCCTCCTCTCTCCTTCCTTCCTCTCCACCAGACCTCTTCTCTCTCCTTCCTTCTTCTTCTCTCACCTTTCTCCATGGAAACAGATCTGGAGCCTGGAGGGGTCGCGGCGACGGGCGCGGGGCGCGGCGACGGGCGCGGCGACGGCGATGGCGACGGGCGCGGCGACGGCGAGGGGCGCGGGGCGCGGCGAGGGCGATGGCGACGGGCGCGGCGACGGCGACGGCGAGGGGCGCGGGGCGCGGCGAGGGGCGCGGCGACGGGAGCGAGGTGCGGCGCGAGAATCTGGCCGCCATGCAAGGAAGAAGAGTCGAAGGAGTTAACAATGGAGGAGAGGTGAGGAGGAGGAGAGAAGAGAGAAGAAGAAGAAGATTCGGATCTGCTGTGGAAAGAAGAGAGAAGAAGAAGAGTCGGAGAGAAGAGAGAAGAAGAAGAGTCAGATCTGTTGTGGAGGAAAGAGAGAAGAAGAAGAGTTGGATCTGCTGTGGGTCACCTTCTCTTTTTATATTTTCGGTTTTGGGTCGGTCAGCCGGTTAGCCGCGGTTAACCGGCTTCGGTTACTCGGCTAACCGGACCTCTAAGTTCCTCTACCGCCAACCGACCGCCCTCTTCGAAATCGGTTTTTCGGCTAGCCGAAAACCGGTCGGTTCGGTTGAAACCGACCGGTTAGCCGCTAACCGGAAAACCGACTGCCACCCCTAGTCGTGGCGCTGGGCGGGCCCAGCTGGGAGGTACAGCTAGGCAGGAGGGACTCCACGTCAGCGAGCAGGACCACAGCGAACAACGACATACCGTCGCCGTTCATGGACCTTCCCGCGCTGAAAAGCAGCTTCCAGAAGCAAGGGCTCAACGAGCGTGACCTCGTGGCGCTGTCCGGGGGACACACCATCGGGTTCTCGCAGTGCCAGTTCTTCAGGAACCGGATCTTCAACGAGACGGCGGACAATATTGATGCGGAGTTCGCGAGGGAGAGGAGGGCAAGCTGTTTCGCCGGCTCCGGGGATGCCAACCTTGGCTCGCTGGACGGTTCGCCGACGAGGTTTGACGCTTCGTATTTTAAAAACTTGGTGGAGAAGAAAGGGTTGCTTCACTCCGACCAGGCGCTGTTCGCCGGTGGGTCGACCGACTCGGTTGTGAAGGGCTACGCCGGCTCGAACAATGGGCGGAGCTTCTGGTTCGATTTTGCGAGCTCGATGGTCAAGATGGGGAACATCAAGCCGTTGACTGGGAACAGTGGTCAAATTCGGGTCAACTGCAGGAAGGTCAACGCATGATATATTCTGGATTTTGTGGTTTGAGTGGTTGGTTGTATTTGTTGAGAGTGAATTTTGGTTAATTTGCAACTCTCCTCCATTGTTTTTTTTTTCTTTCTTTTCAATTTGCTTTGCTTCATCGATCTGTATTCATTCAATTGTGGGTATCATGTTTTCTCTTTTCTTCTCCTGGTTTTGTAACTTTGTAAGGGTGGAATTTAATTTGCCTCGTGCTTCCAATTGGTCTTCTATAAATCAAATAAATTCGTTATCTCGGAACCGGGCTAAAATAGTGAGCGTTATGAGCGTAAAAACCCGAATTTTGCAGTTTCAGATTCGGCGTTATGCTCAATAATTTCTAATTTAACCTAACCTGTTTTTAAAAAATAGTAAGAATGTTATGGAAAGAAAACATTAGGGGGAAAAGTCAACAGTAGCTGATTGATGCCATGCAAATATTGGTCAACAGTGAATTTGTATCAATCCAAATTAATGGCTTGCCTTCCAGACTTGCTGGCTTTGAGGCGGGGGCAAATATGGGTCCCGGGCGATTATTATATTGTATTTGTATGTCAATGCCGGTAAGGTTATCAAGAGTTGCCAACTTCTTGCCGTTTCCCCTCGAACTAAGAAAAAATTGATGTTTTATTTCCTTCTTCAAATGTCAGACCCAAGATTCTAACATAACTTTGACGGCTGTATGGTTACATGGGAAAAAGTCAAGGTAATAGAACTATGGTGTTGTCATCCTATTTTGCATAGACTACTAATTTTTAGTTGGTTGGTTCTTTTTCTTCTTATTAATGTCTCCTTTTCTATTGATCTTAGCCTTATAATAACATTACAATTTACAAGTGCTAGAATTGATAGTTAATGCGACATTAGGTCAAAGATAGAGTCAATAAATCCAATGTGTATAATTTTTGCATAATTAGATATGGGCTATAGATTTGAAGTGGAGTCGGAGCTAAGAAATGAGAAGATTTTTTTTATTTTTCTAGTTTTTTTAATAGGCTTTTAGCTTCATCCTTCTAATTTGTATTTCAATTTTTTTTCAAGACGGAACAAGTTCATTGTGATCTACAAAATGAGATTCATTTTTAGTATATTTTAAAAAATTTCATATCACCAATACCACTCGTTACCACTTTTGTTTTTAACTCGAATTTTAAATAATTTTGCTTAAAAGGAACGAGTTTTTCATGATCTATTGAATCTATAAATTTCTAGGGGAAAAAATTCATGAGCAAATATACCACCTTATATCACCCTGGTATAGGATGGTAACTGGTGGTAGACTATATGAAATATGGTAAATGACATTTAATATATTTCTACTAGCATGCATACAATTATTCTAGACTATGATATATATATACCACCATGATACACTTCCATAACATGAGATATAGCCCGTTAATTAAATTTTATTAGAGGAAGGTTAGGAGTCTTCAATAAATGAAAAGTATTAGGTTATGCATAAATTTGCACTGGATCCCTTTCAAAGTCTGTGTCTTCCTGTGGATCTGTCTTCCAGAATTTTTTTTTTTAACTAGTGATGCTCTTAAGAGAAGAGGGTGGGCCATTCCGAGTTGATGTATCCTATGCCGCAAATGTGAAGAGTCGATAGATCATATATTTTTGTTTTGCAGTTTCTTGAAGGAAGTTTGGCAGACGATGGTACAGTTCGTGCAATTCAAAGAAATCCGCCCGGGTATCTCATCCACCATTAGGTCATGGCCTCAAAAGGAAGCGTAGAATCTTCAAGAATGGTGCTCAAAGATTTTTCTTCACGCTTTTTGCTGGTGCATCTGGCTAGAAAGAAATGCCATGATCTTTAGGGAAGAGTTTGAGTATGCCAGGACAGAGTGTTTCAAGGTAACAGCAGACAAAGATTGAAAATTTCAAATGCAACGGTCACCCCTCTTTTCGTGAAGAAGGTTGAAGAAGATGAGTAGTACGATGTCGTTCAGATGCTTGAAGTTCACATCATCAATCCGCACCGTTTCTCCTGTTATGCTGCGTTCTGATATTGTTCGTTTTCTATTTTCTTTTCTTTCAAGCAAAGCTTTGTTTCCTTTTCAAGCAAAAGAACAAACGAACAATGGCAGCATTTCACCTCACTGTCTTGTAGTGAATCTGCTGCCTATATATGTAATGATCCGAATCAAATGAAGACAAGTTCTAGGGTTTTCACTTCTCAAATCCTTTGTTATGGTATCAGAGCCTCAACAAACCTAGTCGCCGCCTCCAATGGCAGACCACCAACCTGCAAATCAGTAGCCAGAAGACAATGAGGAACAGCCTCAACAACATCAACCTCAGCAAATCATTTACCAGTTGGAAGATCCATACTTCCTTCATGGTTCTGAGAAACCTGGATCTCTCCTTGTTGCCGAGAAGCTCAACTCCTTCAACTACAATGACTGGAGCAGAGGGATGTACAATGCCCTTGCTGCCAAGAACATGTTGGGCTTCATCAATGGCAGCATTCCCCAGCCTGCTGAAACAGATCCCAAACATGGAGCCTGGATTCGCAACAATGTGATGATATTAAGTTGGATCCAACAATCTGTGGAGTCTGAGATCAGGAAAACAATCCTCTCCACCAAGACAGCTCTTGAAGCATGGCGTAGCCTGCAGATCAGGTATGGATTTGGCGATATCATCAGCGTTGCTGAACTCGAAGAAGCCTCTCCAGCCTGAAACAAGGTAACCAAACAATCACTGAGTACTATGGCAGAGTTATTACACTTCGAGATGAACTAGAGAATTATCAGCCCCTGCTTCCATGTGACTGCACTCTTACCAGCCATCTGACCTGTAGGGCTATGAAAAGGGTCATGGAATATCATGACACCAGCTATGTCATTAAGTTTCTTCGAGGTCTCAATGAAAATTTCTCCACTGTTCATCGGGCGGTAATTACTTTCCAGTCTTTTGAAGGCTATTAGATGCATTATTTGAAGAATGATCTATGATAATATGCCACTTTTCTTCCCTTGCAAATTACTAGAGTAGCTAGTGGGAACAGAGATGGATACACAATATAAATTGATTTGTCGGTTGATACTAGTTCGTTTCAACAGCTACCACGAAGAGAACATTTTGTGCAATGAAACATGTGAAAACTTATTTACGCAACAAAATGAGCAATGAATTTCTAGTTGATTGCTTAACTATTTTCTTTGAGATATAGTATGTAATTGATAAAGGATGAAAGAATTCACTAAATTAAAAGATCGTCATATCATGTATAATTGACATTGTACGGTATTTAATTTTCTATTCAAATACGGCCTAATGCTATATTGTGTCCTAGATCCGTTGCTGATTACATATTTGTCATTTAAAATATTACTATTATATCAGATTGCGGACCGTATCAAAACACAAAAGCGTCTTTGACATTTTTGAATAGCGTAAACTTGGGCCTGATGATCAACTGCTCTGCCCTAATTTACGCAGCAGGCATCTATAATAATCAAACCGCTCTCCCGCATTGGGTGCCTAATGACGACAGAGATAAACTGTGTCTGAATAACGTGTCAAAGTTTGACTTGGCACTTAGTTGATTGCAGGCAGCAGCGTAAACTAAATTGTTGGATTAATTAGATCAGTTAAATAAGTTGTCGTTATTAAATTAGTTTCGATCCAAATTAATTAATTCCGAGTCGACCAGCTAGCTGTTTGTCATTTGCAGAAGTTCACAAGTGTTTGTCATAGGTGTGAAGTATCTTCTGATGAAAACTTTATACCATAGTTGTGCAGGATAATGCATATAAAACCCCATTGTTCTTGCATTTGGAGATATTCATTAAGCGGATGGAGAACCTAGCTAGACATGCTGGCTGTCACCTAACCCTAAAATTGACCAACCAATATATATGGTAAAGGCTATTGACTGCTTGCATACACATATTAGATATACTTTGACAAACGGTTGGTTAATTTTTATTTTTATTAAATTGATATTGTGGTATGGGTTTATATACATTATTTAGGCTGGCCGGTGTATGTTTGGTATACGTTAATCTCATCGTACGTCTACGGAATATCGTTATTTAGATCATAAATTAACCAGGGTTTCGAGCATGATATTATACTCTAACATGTGATAGGTGAACCTCCAATCCTTAATTTTCTAAACTCAAATCATAAAATCAATTTAATAGAAAATAATAAATGACGGTTCTGATTCTTAAAATATATATATATAGAAACTTAGGTCTTTGTATCTAACCAATTACAAATAATATGTGTGAACGCAGGCGTATAGCGTATGTCAGTCGTACGCTAACCATTACCACTTCAAAAAATTTGTAAAATATAACATATGATTGTGTGGGCATATAATAATTCATTTGAATTTGGCAAAGGTATAGGACAACGATTATTTATGTTGTATTAAGATAATTCCTGTGTCTACCAACTGAGCTGTTGAGATTTTGACATTAAGGAACCAAACCAAATATTTCCTGGAAAGTCCATGCAGTTGGCCAAGTCTCTTCACACTCTCCCTCCCAATCTCATATCATTCTGAACCTTTCCAACACCTCTATATATAAATACCCACAAACCAGCCTCTCCCATAAACCACACAAACAAAAGCCTTCACCATCACTCCAATCTCCTACACAAAGCAAAAACAGATCGATCAATCTCTTCCCATATATAGCATAATCAGTTTCCTTTCCGGAGCAAAGCAAGATGGCCAATTCACCTCGCATCTTCTTCACAGTATTACTCCTCCTTGTAGCTCTTGCATCAGCTGCCACGGCCTCCTCCGCAGGCTTCTCTCCGCTATCTCCTTACTACTACTCCAAAATCTGCCCCAAGGCCTTGCCTGCCATTCGACGTGTCGTCGAGGCCGCTGTCTCCCGCGAGCGTCGCATGGGCGCCTCCCTTCTCCGCCTCCACTTCCACGACTGCTTCGTCCAGGTACGAATATAACAACTCGAGTTATTGAAATCAACTAGTTCTCGATATCGAACGCAACTTTTTCCCTTAATCTCATCATCATTTTGCAACTAATAATCCATATATACGTTGCATGCAGGGCTGCGATGGATCGATACTCTTGGACGCGACCCCGACGATCGACAGCGAGAAGACGGCCCTACCGAACAACAACTCGGCCAGAGGGTTCGAAGTAATCGACATGATCAAATCCGAGGTTGACAAAGCCTGCGGCGGCAAGCCGGTCGTGTCCTGCGCCGACATCCTAGCCGTGGCCGCTCGCGACTCGGTCGTGGCGCTGGGCGGGCCCAGCTGGGAAGTACAGCTAGGCAGGAGGGACTCCACGTCAGCGAGCAGGACCACAGCGAACAACGACATACCGTCGCCGTTCATGGACCTCCCCGCGCTGAAAAGCAGCTTCCAGAAGCAAGGGCTCAACGAGCGGGACCTCGTGGCGCTCTCCGGGGGACACACCATCGGCTTCTCGCAGTGCCAGTTCTTCAGGAACCGAATATTCAACGAGACGGAGGCCAATATTGATGCGGAGTTCGCGAGGGAGAGGAGGGCAAGCTGTTTCGCCGGCTCCGGGGATGCCAACCTTGGCTCGCTGGACGGTTCGCCGGCGAGGTTCGACGGTTCGTATTTTAAGAACTTGGTGGAGAAGAAAGGGCTGCTTCATTCCGACCAGGCGCTCTTTGCGGGTGGGTCGACCGACTCGGTTGTGAAGGGTTACGGTTCGAACAATGGGCGGAGCTTCTGGTTCGATTTTGCGAGCTCGATGGTTAAGATGGGGAACATCAAGCCGTTGACTGGGAACCGTGGTCAAATTCGGGTCAACTGCAGGAAGGTCAACGCATGATTGTGGGTTATTTGGTTTAAGTGGTTGGTTGTATTTGTTGAGTGAATTTTCGAGGGTTTTTTTTTTTTTTTTTTTTTGCTTCGTTTGTATTCATTCAATTGTGGGTATCATGTTTCTCTTTCCTTAATTCTTCTGGTTTTGTAACTTGCATTGTAAGGGTGGAATGTGCCTTGTGGTTCCAATTGGTTTGGGTCTTCTATAAATCAAATAAATTCATTATCTTAGAACCGGGCTGTAAAGAAACGGGACGTGACTACTTGCTTTGCATGCAAACGCCTAATCAAACCATTGAAGCATACTTGCCAAAGGTAACACAGCTAAGTTGATCGGGCGTGTGGTCTTTTGAATTTGAGATATGTGAAGTCTCAGGTTCGAACCCCACTACACCACTTGATGTTTTCAGAGACACCGCGATTGCTGGAAACGAAGTTTCCCCAATATTAGGTGAATAAATATGGCATTTACCCAATAAAATAAATAAAAAGTTGTGAAGCAACAGTACTGAATTTGTATCAATCCAAATTAGTGGCTGCCTATTATTAGACTACTTGGCTTGGTGGGGACAAATATGGCGCCCGGGTGATTATTATCCTTCCTACAAATACAATATGGAGTTTCTCCTTGCGGACCCCCTTAGTTCCACTTTTCCCTGCTCCAGCGCATAGCACGGAAGGGGCCTATGGACATTTCATTTTTAATTCTCATGAGCCTTAGTATGGCTACGTATTCCTACTTATGTATATGGGCCATAATTCACATGTCCATGCAATAATAATTATTATTATTATTATGCATTTGGTCCAAGTTATTATTATTTTTATTTTTGGTCGAGAACGGGGCGCTTAAAGGGCGCCCCAACCTTTATGCATTAAACCAACCGGGGTGTTTGGACCCCAACTCGATCAAAGTACAGCCAGTACAGCAACATAGTACTGGGAACATCAAAAACATGCATCCCCACAGCAAGGGAATGCCCCAGAGAGGCTAGATAATCCGCAACAAAGTTCGCCTCACGATAAACATGCTCAATCTTAACCTGCCAAGGCCTCTCTAACCAGCGACGAATCTCAGCAACAGTCGTATAATGTGGGTGGTTGGTCGTCGCAGACGCAATCAGGGTGACTGCCGTGTTGGAATCTGTCTGAAGAAGCACCTTCCTAGCCCCTTCTTCCCAGGCGAGCTTCAACCCATGCACAATTCCAGCCAGCTCTGCTCGGGTAATAGAACCCCCTCCAAGGTTCGCTGAAAACGCTTTAACGAAACGGCCATCGTCCCCTCGTACGATCCCTCCACAAGATGTGCTTTCGTTCGCCTGTATAACCGAGCCATCGGTATTCACACAAAGCCAGCCCGGTTGCGGTGGTTGCCAGCTGATGAGGCGGCGTTCCCGGAGTCCCCCGGCTCCGAAAATGCGCGACTCTTGCTCAAAGGCATTGCGGATCCGAGTCTTGAGCTGCTTTGTGTCAAACTGGATATGTACATGGGTCTTCTGCTCACCTTCGAAGACGAGGCTATTCCGGTTCTTCCACAGTAGCCAACACGTGCCTGCAAACAAGGTAGGGTCAACCACATTACTCCGACTAGACAGGTAATAAAGAGACCATCGCTTCATATCCGGCTCGAAAAATCTACTGTCGGGCTCGCCATCCAGAAAGTCCGCCCACACTGCTCTCGCAAACGGGCAATCTCTCACGACGTGCATGGCACTCTCGCTAGGTCCGCCGCACATCTTGCAGCTGCTATCTTCCGTCAGGTGTCGTCGGTGGCGCTCCGCATTTGTTAGCAACCTGTCATGAACCATCATCCACATAAATGATCGGACGCGCTGCATCGTAGGGGTTCTCCAAATCGTCCGCCAGCATGGGTGTCGGTCGCTGCTGCCGTCTCCACTGTCCAGCATTTCGTACGCCGTCTTCAAAGTGAATTCGCCCGATTGCGAAAGCCGCCAGACTCGGATGTCATCTTCCAGCTCCACCGGGACAGGATGAAGAGTAACCTGCGAAACAACATGGGGGGTAAGAATACATTGAGAAACTCCCTGTTCCACTCACCATTCAGCACAAAGTCGATGACTGGCATCTGTAAGCAATCCTCCGGGAGATTAGGGGCGAAGTCTTTAAGGATCAGCTCATCCGCCATCCACCGATCGCTCCAGAATTTGGCCACCCGCCCGTTTCTAATGTTCCAGCTAGAGGCCTCTTCCACTCGATGCAACACCCTCAGCACCCCCCGCCAGAGATTCGATAGCCTCCCCGTCGTTCGAGCTACCAGCCCCTCGGCAGTTTGTCTGAAATATTTCGAGCGGATTACTTTGGCCCACAGCTCGTTCGGTTTTAGGAGCATTCGCCAAGCAATCTTCATCATGTAAGCCTCGTTGGTCTTGGTGGCATCTCTGAGCCCCAATCCTCCTTTCGGTTTCGGTCTACAAAGGGTCTCCCAATCAACAAGGTGGATTTTCCTTCCTTGGTCAGTGCTCCCCCAGACAAATGCTCGTATCTTCTTGTCAATATAATCGCGCACACTCGCCGGGAGGAACACCGTTTGCATAGTGTAAGCGGGGAGAGACGAGAGGACTGAGCTCGCTAGTGTAATCCTTCCCGCCAAGGACAGCGTCGAAACTTTCCATCCTGCCAGTCTCGAGTCAATCTTGTCTATCAACTCCGTGTACGTAGCTTTAGATATCCGATCATGAATCACCGGCACCCCCAAGTATCTTCCCAGATTAGTAGTCTCAGGGATCCCCAGGGCTTCACATAAGCTTTGCCGCGCCTCGGGTAGCACATTTGCTGAGAAATACACCCGGGATTTCGGTTTGCTAATCTGCTGGCCTGACGCCCCACCAAATCTCTCAAAGCAGTCTAACATTGTTCCCACCTGCTCCAACGTGGCCTCCCCAAACAGAATTAGGTCGTCGGCAAAGAACGAGTGGGAAAGGCACGGCCCTGAGCTCACCAACTTGATTGGTTTCCAATGGCCAGTAGCTACAGCATCATCAATCAAATGCCCAAGCCTCTCCATACAGAGTGTAAAGAGGTATGGCGATAGCGGGCAACCTTGACGGAGTCCCCTCGACGGGTAGAAGGGTTCGGTGAGCCCGCCATCCCACTGTATCTGCATGGCTGCCGACGTTATACATTCCATCATGAGCTCCGCAAATTTCGGCGGGGCGCCTGCTGCCTGGAGAGTATCTCGAACAAACTCCCATCTGATCCGGTCGTAGGCTTTAGCAAGGTCAATTTTTAGCGTCATCCACCCTCTCCGTCCCTTTTTCGCCCGCATAGAGTGAACTACCTCTTGCAAGATGCAGATGTTGTCTGTTATATGTCGGCCAGGCACAAAACTCGTCTGCGTCTCATGAACTAGCGATGGCATCAGTTCCTTCAGTCTTTCCGCCAAGCACTTAGTCACCGCTTTATAGGCCACATTACAAAGACTAATGGGTCGGAACTGCTCAATAGCAGTTGGTTGAGCCACCTTTGGGATCAGAACCAGAATGGTAGAATTCACTTCCTTAATCTTACTCGGCAACTCCCAACATTCCTTAGCCAGTTTACCCAAGGATTCTCCCACCATAGACCAGCATTTCTGAAAAAATAATGGGTTTAGGCCGTCTTTTCCCGGAGCCTTTAATGCCCCCATAGACCGGATGGCCGAGTGAACTTCCTCCAACGTCAAGTCTTTGCTCACCTCCTCCCATTTTTCGGTCTCAATGGGCGGGAAGTCCGCCTGGATGTGCTGCAGCTCTCCCCCTTCCTCAGTATAAAGCCATCCGAAAAAGGTGACAACCATGTCTTGTAATACTACCGGGTCGTCGATCCACTCACCTGCTGCATTTTTTAGGAGAGTTATTCGGTTTCGCTTGCGTCGGTGGAGGGTACGGGTATGGAAGAATTTCGTGTTGCGATCACCCGATATAATCCACTCTAAGCAAGCTTTTTGGCACCAGGTCACCTCTTCTTGTAATAGCACTGCCTCGAGCTCTTCTCTGACTTGGATTAATTCCTGGCTGTCGAAGACCCCTCCCCTGTTGCGCTCTAGTCTTTCCAATTTGTTCATTAGTTTTTCCTTTTTCCTCTGAATGTGGCCAAAAACAGTGCGGTTCCAAACCTCCGCATCCCTGGCCAGAGCTTCAGCCGATTCAGTGAAACGTCCTCCCTTTGCCCAAGCACTAGCTACCATAGGTAAAAAATCTTCATGCAACGTCCAAGCCGCGAGGAAGCGAAAAGGTTTACGACCCCCCGGCTGTGCGTGCACCTGAGATGACAGCAAAATCGGTCGGTGATCCGATTTGAGCCGAGGGAGATGGCGGATAGTCGAGTCCGGGAAGACATTGACCCATTCAGTGTTCGCCAGGTCCCTATCTAACCTTTCCCGCAGCCCCCGGCGAAACCAGGTGTACGCTGGGCCTGTGAAGCTGACATCCACAAGGCCCGCGTCGCTTACACAGTCATGGAAATCTCGTATCCGTGAAGCATCAAAAGGTGCTCCACCCAGCTTCTCTCCCGGACTGAGGATAGAGTTGAGGTCACCCATTAGCAGCCAGGGGTGGTCTTGATCAAGCGCTAACTGCCGAATCTCTTCCCAAAGTTGTCTTCTTTGAATCGGCGCCGGGTTCCCATAAACCGCGGAAAGGCACCAGGTCGGCCCGCTTGAGTTTGAGCTCTGTACCTGCACATGGAGACATTGATGGTGGTTATTCAGCCGTGTTACTACAAAGTCTCCTGCGTTCCACATGATCCAAATACCCCCCGAGAACCCTGCCGCATCAACAATAAACTTGCTATCGTAACCCATCTTCCTAACAATCTCATTCACTCGATCCCCACTAATGCGAGGCTCAACAATAATCACGATATCCGGACGATGTCTCCGATGATATTCCTTAAAGACTCTCAGAAAACTCTTGCTACCCGCCCCCCTACAATTCCAAGACAGAATCTTAAAATCCATAAAAAGGTAAGAGAAAAGCGACTCCCTGGTTTAATTCCCGGACGGAGAGA